TGCCGAGCAAGGCCTACCGCCCCGCTTCGAGAAATACAGTGGTGACAAGCAGACCAGGAACTATGTCAGGGCCCGGTACAAGGAGGACCTGATAACAAAGGAGCTTACCACGGATCCGAAGACCAGGGCGCTTGAGCTTCTTCTGGTAAGGAATACACCCCCGCGTAATTAGCTCCATATGGTTGCACTCTAATTAATCCCCAATATTTCTAAATGGTTCACGTTCCTTTCGCAGGACACTGAAAGCAGTAGCGCGGGGTCGTCTAAGAGCTCCCCTGTCGACACCCCTTTAAATAGGGCGTTGAACGTAATGAAAAACAAGGATAAGCTCACTAAGCCGACATCAGCTGGTCGTGTGGCCGGCAAAGGCTTGTCCACAAAATGGGGGTCATACTATACCGCTGGTGTGCGGAAGGAGAAAAAGACCAGCTCAGAAAGCCAGACGCGCGAGGTTGAAGAACTCAAGGCACAAGTGGCGCGGATTCCGGAGCTTCTCCAAGAGCAAGTGCAACAACAACTTGGAACAACGCTCAACGCCATGGTGCCTACGTTGATTCATGGGCTGACGACATGGATTGCGGGCGGCCAACAGGGGCCTCCCCCGATTCCCAGCTTCACGGCCAGCAACTCGCACAGCACGCAGGCGGCGCCATTGGTGTCTCCGGCGGCGCCATTGGTGTCTCCGGCGGCGGCGCCATTGGTGTCTCCGGCGGAGGCGGTATTCGTGTCTCCGGCGCCGGCACGGGCATTGGAGCTTAATGCACCCGGGTGTACGCCGGCCGGCACCTTGCCAGCAAGCGCCCCCTCCGTCAGTTGCATGCCCGCCGTTGGCGGTGCCCCGACATTAGCCGAGCTCGATGGCATCACGGTAACCAAGCCTCTCGGCCGATGACTTCATCTCCTTGCCTTTGACTGGGCATCCCTGACGCCCTGTACATGTTTTCGCAGGGCACCGCCGACGTTCCTTGCACTCTTCTGCATTTCATGGGCGCCGAGTTGGTCGATGTCGCCAAGGGCAGAATCGTTCAACCGGGCAACCCCATGTTCCACGGTAATCCGATGCCACCCATAATGTATAGGGTTGAAGTGGTTCGGGTGATGCCAGGCTGCGACGAGCTGTTACCTCCGATTCGACCCGCTGGGGCCGACGAAGAAGATGAGATGACCCTCAATACCTGCGTAAACTGGCCCCTGCTTTGGCCGAAGAGCCAGATTCATTTGGGGGCGGGGGACACCACCCCACAGACAAGACCGCCAGTCGTGCCGGCGCCAAGCCATGGCAAGAACGCCGCAACGCTACTAGACCTGCCGGACATTCCTATGGCACAGGATCCGGACAACCCTATGGCACAGGATCCGGACGGTGACGACAATGACGACGGTACATTTACCAAAGTTGATAAGTACTTTGACGAACATGGGTACGCTGACGAGTTCTGCAGGCCTCTTTCTCAAGAACCCAACCAAGATGACCGCGATCTAGCTGGTACGGTGGAGAAATCCAATTGCAACAGACATCGTTTGGCGTTCAGTTCTCAGGACACGCCTCCAGCTCCCGCCTTCACCGAGCCTCAGATAGCTGAGGTGCGAAATATTATCAGCCCCAACACGCTCAAGAAGGCGGTCTGTGAACAGAACTCGGTCCCATTACAGGAGATCAAGAAGAAGGGACGGAAACGAAAGACTAACAAGGGCGCCGGTGCGAGCCAGCCGGCACCGAGTTCGATCCGTGCTCAGGACGGGCCACCTTCACCTAAGGATATCTTGAGGAGGGTGCATGTGGCGGGTAGGACGATGCTACCGCCAAATATGCTGAATGCTGCAACCGGTGCTATGCGGAGTCTGCACGACAATGTTCTTTCTTTGGAGAAGCGGTGTCTCAGAGAGAAGGATGTGGCATACCCGGTTTTCATGACCAAGGTGCCAGAGGGCAAGGGCTTTGTGGATGGAGACATCGGGGGTACGATCGTCCTGCGGTTTGATGACATCTTTGCTATGTTTAACCTTCATCCGCTGCACTACATCTTCGTTCGGCTGTTTTCGCTGAGTATGGAGATGCGGATCATTAGAGACAAGACCCCGGACATCGTGATAGTCGACCCCTTCTACATGTGTGCCAAGCACTTGAGCAGCGCTGGGGACAGCCAAGTTGCGAGTTCACACCTCGAAGGCGTCATTCTGGCAAACCCAGATAAGGATAACTTCCTTGTGGCTTACTTTCCCGAGTAAGCCATCCCTTAACCGCCCCGTAACATATGATTTCTTAGATTTTGATCGTTCTTTTTTTTCTAACATTCCGTGTTCTGTGTAGTGACACACATTGCACACTCATCCTCTTAAGCCCGAAATATTCCATGGCCACATATTTCGACCCGAACCGTAACTCCAACATAGACTACACAAATGTCAAGAAAGTTCTTGATGATGTTCTCCTCGGTTACACCAAATCTGGAGGTACCTTCACCAGGGCAGTTCGTAAGTACGGCAAGCACATGTTCTCACACAATACGAAGTTCTGCTGCGTCAAGCAGCCGCCTGGCGGTCAGAAGGATGCCTACTACGCCCTCCATCACATGCGGGCGATCGTAAGGGACCATCATCAACTTCTGCTATCAGATAATCTCAAAGATTGGGCCACGAGCTTGTCGACAGTCCAGGACGCGGACCTCAGACAAGAATTCTTTCGCATCCAGTCGGAGTTTGCGGACATCATCCATCAAGATGTCCTTCATTCCTCGGGGCAGTTCTTCCTCAGATATCAACCGTCCAACAGTGAGATAGATGAAATGCTACAAATGCAGGGTGACAACGACCGCGATTTCATGACCATCACGACAGACGGCAGCTTCATCCACGTTCCTGTCCGATGAGTCGAGTTGAAAGTAGTGATGTGTAGTTCTGAAACATTGATTGGCTCATGTTGTAATTATACTTTAATGAATTCGTATGTCTCTTTGGTTTGGATAGTCGTTCAACTTAGATGTAATCGATGCTATTTATCAGTAGGACCATCAATCGTGCTATTAATGTTTTGCTTTTCTCTTCCGATCCTTTTGTTGCATACTTACATATTGCTTATGTATTGTCTGTTGTTTGGCTTGTGCATAGAGATGCCGTCGTATGTCGTGTACAAGGGTAAGGTTCCTGAAGTCTACGACGACTGGGAGGAGTGTCGAAGACAGGTTCACCGTTTCAGCGGTAATAGTTACAAAGGGTACACCACTAGGGCGGAGGCCGAATCTAGATACGCCCGCTATCTAGCGGGAGAGAGGAGGGAGCGTTGGAGGAACCGGATGAAGACCAGATTGATCGCGATGATGCTCATCGTGATGACCACAGCTCTCTTCTATGTGATGGTAGTTTAGATGATCGACATCGACTTGTAATGTGAAGACAAACTCGATACTCGCGGTCTTGAGACTTATAATGTTTTATCTTTGTTCGGTCTCTTGAATTCAGAGACTAATATGATGAATTGTATTCGGAGACTAATCTTCTATTGTATTCGATGAATCTGATGTTGCTGTGTGCTGCTGTCTATATTCTGTCTAATAATATATTTTATATTCTGTCTAATAATATATTTTGTAACCTGCGCAAAAATCAGAAAAGGAAAAAAAACCAAATATTCATACTAATGACGCATCACCACCAGGTGCGCCATTAGTATGCCAAAGGATACTAATGGCGCATCAACAGAGAATGTGCCATTAGTATGACAAAGCCATGCTTACGTATGGCCCCCCGGGAGGCACACTAATGACGCATGCTGTTACACACTAATGGCGCACTAGTTGGTGCACCATTAGTATACCAGATACTAATGACGCACCTGTGGTGCGCCATTAGTAAGATATACTAGTGGCGTGCTACTAATGGCGCACTGGTAATGCGTCATTAGTAGGCAAAACCAGTGCGCCATTAGTAGGCCTTTTCCTAGTAGTGTGGGGCCTGAATAATAAGTGGACCTGTCAATATCGAATGATGAGGCCCGGTTTACATGTCCGTCGAATTCGACAGGAATGCATGAAGCTGATAAATTTTCAACCTCAACTGGCCCCAATTGAAAAAAAGAGACATATGTGCAACTTAATACTCCAGATCTAATAAATATGTGGCATTTTACATAGGTACAGGTTTTGGAACAGCTAGTATGGTTGGAAGAGGAAGTCCCACTTAACTATAGGTGCAAATATCCCGCAAAAAATACAATAGGTGCAAATAGAAATGGCAAAAATATGTGTTGCACCAGCAACGAACTGCAGCTCTCGTGGTAGCATTTGTTTTTTCAAAGTTGTACATTTTATTTGCTTCTCGTGGTACCATTTTCAAGAACACATGAATAAGACATGCACGTAAATGGCTTTTTATTATGTTTTAGTAAGGACAAGGGAAGAATCCTTGCACAAACACACGGCAAGACCTGCAAGAACTAGACGATATTGGCATAAAAGAAACAGTGTCTGGCATCGAGCTGTGCTATACTATTTTAGTGGAATAAAAACACATGATAGCTTAACATAATACTTATCTATCTAACGAAGTTTTCTATATTTCAGTGACCCTCAGTGTCTGTCATGGTTGAAGGCACCGGCAAGAAGTGTGGTAGAAATAGAATAGTATAAAGAATGTTGCTATCAATTCATTCAGTTCTTTGAACCTGTTCTGCAATACTTTTATCATCGGTGTAATCCTGTCTCCGTCTGTCTTTCCCAAGGGCATGCTCAATGAGACACAATATATGTACGTCCGACCTAGTATTATAACAATCCATTTGAGACGTTACGGACCAGTGCCCTGTCTGAACTCATCAATGATTTGCCGTGGAGAACATGCAACAAGTTGGTGCTCATGACTGAACTAGCAGAAGCACTATATAAAGTCGACCCTGCAGCTGTCTAACCACACAGCACAATCAATCGAGGGAAACAAACCAGTACTGTAGCAGCAAAAAGAAGAAGTAGACGAGCGTTAGAGTTCCGCGCTGTTCAGTAGGTAAGATGGCCACTGCAAGAGCTCTAGCCACCATGGCAGTTTTCCTCCTGGTGGCCCTCTCCACCTCCCACATCGCGTCCTCGCTCCGCCCAGGTCTCGGTGTGTGCCGTGCAAGTGGCTACCTTCCAGGAAAGCAAGGCAACTGTGAGAAGAGCAACGACCCCGACTGCTGCGAGGATGGCAAGAGATACCCGCAGTACCACTGCTCGCCGCCGGTCACCGCGACCACCAAGGCCGTCTTGACGCTCAACAGCTTCGAGAAGGGCAAGGACGGCGGCGGTCCGTCCGAGTGTGACAATTCCTACCACAGCGATAAGGAGATGGTCGTTGCGCTCTCCACCGGCTGGTTCAAGAACATGGCCCGTTGCGGGCACCGCATCAAGATCAGCGCCAATGGCAAGTCTGTGTATGCCAAGGTGGTGGACGAGTGTGACTCCGTCTATGGCTGCGACGAAGACCACAACTACGAGCCCCCGTGTGCTAACAACATCGTTGACGCCTCTCCTGCGGTGTGGAATGCCTTGGGGCTCGACCAGAACGTCGGCATGGAGGGCATCACCTGGTCCGATGAGTGAGCGTTTGAAACAAAGGTGAGCGCAGGTTGTTGGTACCACTAGTCGGTCAAGTGTCATGTGTATAATGTTCGCTGTCAGAGAGAAGTCCAGTATATACAGATCCTATACGGGGTGAGTTGATCAGATTATGTATATGATGGCATGATTTTTTAAAATAAACAGTGCAACCTATGGTTTAGCACCAGTGAGATGTTCGCGTGTGCTCTTCAAGGCTATAATAGTGAGTAGTGTGGTGTATAAAGAATTGGAAACACATGAGATACCTGAGAAAGCTGTATACTCATTTTCGAGGGTCGCTGAACAAGTATGATAAACTGTTAAAAAGCACATCATTCCACTGATCAGCTACCAAAGACGGTGAACTCCATAGAAAATATTATGTCTAATGCTACGCAGCATTATATATCTTGCACGGTTGCATCTAATTACAGCATGTATGCAGCGCAGGAAGAGTGAGATTGCTCCATGACGCAGACTTAACTCCCATAACAATTCACTCAAGTCGAGAGTATCAAGCAAGCAATCAACAAACGGAGCTGCTTAATCAAGGAATCAAGGATCTGAAAAAAGCATGAGGAACTAATAATACATGCTTTTTGATGCTTAATGTTTCAGTAAGGCAACTAAATGTGCAATCAAGATGATTCCATGATTTCATAATGTTACAAGCGCTCAACTCAGGCATGATACTGGAGTGGTGGAACAGTATGATGGTGGCCCTTGTCCCGAAAATTGATAACATCGGACGCTAAGTCAGTTTCCGCCAATATCTTTGTAATTTAGTTTACATAGTTATCTTAGAAATGTTGCTTAATCATTCAAAGAGTATGCTGCCCGGGATACTTTCGCCAACGTAGAGCACTTTCATTTCAGGGTGCATGACTACGGAAATTATTTTGGTGCCATACGAGTATTGCCATACTTCAAAGAACAAAAATAAAAGGGAAGTTTGGTTGGCAAATTGTTGTGACAGACTACCGAATATAACTACATAAACTAAACCACATAGGTGTCGTAATTTCTCAAAGTTCTTCTATGTCTACTTCCTAGAGTGTTGTGAGAGACTAGTGAATATAGGTGCATAAACTAAACTGGATAGATTTCCAAATTGCTGAAAGTTTTGGGCGTTTAAGATGTTCGGGGCGAACATGCTTTTTCTTCTTCCGTCTTTTGTTTTCCCCCGGTTTTCTTTTCGGTTGGTTACGTTGGGGTGTCCTGCTGTGCTCTAAGGACACAACACCATCGATCTTTATATTGCCCGTGCTGAGTGCCACCAGCCGCCATCTCCTAGGAAAGCAGGACGCCGATGAGGCACCACCGAGCGTGCAGCCAGTGCTGCTGTGCCGCCACAATCAGATGGACTGGGCCCGCGTCACTCGCGTCGCTTGTGGCAGCAAGGTCTTAACGCGCCGACGCATGCACATCCATTGTTGTTTATCCGTGGTTGGGAAGACGAGGTGAAGATTGGATCTCCCGAGGTGGAGGCCAGCGTTGCCGCCACGACCAACGTACAGAGGAGAGGCTCAAGGTTGCGGCTAGAATCGCCGACCAGGAAAATCCGGATCGAGCGGTTCACCTGGGGCCTGAATAATAAGTGGACCTGTCAATATCAAATGATGGGCCCCGGTTTACATGTCCGTCGAACTCGACAGGAATGCATGAAGCTGATAAATTTTCAACCTCAACTGGCCCCAAGCGAAAAAAAGAGACATATGTGTAACTTAATACTCCAGATCTAATAAATATGTGGCATTTTACATAGGTACAGGTTTTGGACAAGCTAGTATGGTTGGAAGAGGAAGTCCCACGTAACTATAGGTGCAAATATCCCGCAAAAAAAAACACACGGCAAGACCTGCAAGAACTAGACGATATTGGCAAAAAAGAAACAGTGTCTGGCATCGAGCTGTGCTATACTATTTTAGTGGAATGAAAACACATGATAGCTTAACATAATACTTATCTATCTAACGAAGTTTTCTATATTTCAGTGACCCTCAGTGTCTGTCATGGTTGAAGGCACCGGCAAGAAGTGTGGTAGAAATAGAATAGTATAAAGAATGTTGCTATCAATTCATTCAGTTCTTTGAACCTGTTCTGCAATATTTTTATCATCGGTGTAATCATGTCTCCGTCTGTCTTTCCCAAGGGCATGCTCAATGAGACACAATATATATAGTCCGACCTAGTATTATAACAATCCATTTGAGACGTTACGGACCAGTGCCCTGTCTGAACTCATCAATGATTTGCCGTGGAGAACATGCAACAAGTTGGTGCTCATGACTGAACTAGCAGAAGCACTATATAAAGTCGACCCTGCAGCTGTCTAACCACACAGCACAATCAATCGAGGGAAACAAACCAGTACTGTAGCAGCAAAAAGAAGAAGTAGACGAGCGTTAGAGTTCCGCGCTGTTCAGTAGGTAAGATGGCCACTGCAAGAGCTCTAGCCACCATGGCAGTTTTCCTCCTGGTGGCCCTCTCCACCTCCCACATCGCGTCCTCGCTCCGCCCAGGTCTCGGTGTGTGCCGTGCAAGTGGCTACCTTCCAGGAAAGTCAGGCAACTGTGAGAAGAGCAACGACCCCGACTGCTGCGAGGATGGCAAGAGATACCCGCAGTACCACTGCTCGCCGCCGGTCACCGCGACCACCAAGGCCGTCTTGACGCTCAACAGCTTCGAGAAGGGCAAGGACGGCGGCGGTCCGTCCGAGTGTGACAATTCCTACCACAGCGATAAGGAGATGGTCGTTGCGCTCTCCACCGGCTGGTTCAAGAACATGGCCCGTTGCGGGCACCGCATCAAGATCAGCGCCAATGGCAAGTCTGTGTATGCCAAGGTGGTGGACGAGTGTGACTCCGTCTATGGCTGCGACGAAGACCACAACTACGAGCCCCCGTGTGCTAACAACATCGTTGAAGCCTCTCCTGCGGTGTGGAATGCCTTGGGGCTCGACCAGAACGTCGGCATGGAGGGCATCACCTGGTCCCATGAGTGAGCGTTTGAAACAAAGGTGAGCGCAGGTTGTTGGTACCACTAGTCGGTCAAGTGTCATGTGTATAATGTTCGCTGTCAGAGAGAAGTCCAGTATATACAGATCCTATACGGGGTGAGTTGATCAGATTATGTATATGATGGCATGATTTTTTAAAATAAACAGTGCAACCTATGGTTTAGCACCAGTGAGATGTTCGCGTGTGCTCTTCAAGGCTATAATAGTGAGTAGTGTGGTGTATAAAGAATTGGAAACACATGAGATACCTGAGAAAGCTGTATACTCATTTTCAAGGGTCGCTGAACAAGTATGATAAACTGTTAAAAAGCACATCATTCCACTGATCAGCTACCAAAGACGGTGAACTCCATAGAAAATATTATGTCTAATGCTACGCAGCATTATATATCTTGCACGGTTGCATCTAATTACAGCATGTATGCAGCGCAGGAAGAGTGAGATTGCTCCATGACGCAGACTTAACTCCCATAACAATTCACTCAAGTCGAGAGTATCAAGCAAGCAATCAACAAACGGAGCTGCTTAATCAAGGAATCAAGGATCTGAAAAAAGCATGAGGAACTAATAATACATGCTTTTTGATGCTTAATGTTTCAGTAAGGCAACTAAATGTGCAATCAAGATGATTCCATGATTTCATAATGTTACAAGCGCTCAACTCAGGCATGATACTGGAGTGGTGGAACAGTATGATGGTGGCCCTTGTCCCGAAAATTGATAACATCGGACGCTAAGTCAGTTTCCGCCAATATCTTTGTAATTTAGTTTACATAGTTATCTTAGAAATGTTGCTTAATCATTCAAAGAGTATGCTGCCCGGGATACTTTCGCCAACGTAGAGCACTTTCATTTCAGGGTGCATGACTACGGAAATTATTTTGGTGCCATACGAGTATTGCCATACTTCAAAGAACAAAAATAAAAGGGAAGTTTGGTTGGCAAATTGTTGTGACAGACTACCGAATATAACTACATAAACTAAACCACATAGGTGTCGTATTTTCTCAAAGTTCTTCTATGTCTACTTCCTAGAGTGTTGTGAGAGACTAGTGAATATAGGTGCATAAACTAAACTGGATAGATTTCCAAATTGCTGAAAGTTTTGGGCGTTTAAGATGTTCGGGGCGAACATGCTTTTTCTTCTTCCGTCTTTTGTTTTCCCCCGGTTTTCTTTTCGGTTGGTTACGTTGGGGTGTCCTGCTGTGCTCTAAGGACACAACACCATCGATCTTTATATTGCCCGTGCTGAGTGCCACCAGCCGCCATCTCCTAGGAAAGCAGGACGCCGATGAGGCACCACCGAGCGTGCAGCCGGTGCTGCTGTGCCGCCACAATCAGATGGACTGGGCCCGCGTCACTCGCGTCGCTTGTGGCAGCAAGGTCTTAACGCGCCGACGCATGCACATCCATTGTTGTTTATCCGTGGTTGGGAAGACGAGGTGAAGATTGGATCTCCCGAGGTGGAGGCCAGCGTTGCCGCCACGACCAACGTACAGAGGAGAGGCTCAAGGTTGCGGCTAGAATCGCCGACCAGGAAAATCCGGATCGAGCGGTTCACCTGGGGCCTGAATAATAAGTGGACCTGTCAATATCAAATGATGGGCCCCGGTTTACATGTCCGTCGAATTCGACAGGAATGCATGAAGTTGATAAATTTTCAACCTCAACGGGCCCCAAGCGGAAAAAAGAGACATATGTGTAACTTAATACTCCAGATCTAATAAATATGTGGCATTTTACATAGCTACAGGTTTTGGACAAGCTAGTATGGTTGGAAGAGGAAGTCCCACGTAACTATAGGTGCAAATATCCCGCAAAAAAAAAAACACACGGCAAGACCTGCAAGAACTAGACGATATTGGCATAAAAGAAACAGTGTCTGGCATCGAGCTGTGCTATACTATTTTAGTGGAATAAAAACACATGATAGCTTAACATAATACTTATCTATCTAACGAAGTTTTCTATATTTCAGTGACCCTCAGTGTCTGTCATGGTTGAAGGCACCGGCAAGAAGTGTGGTAGAAATAGAATAGTATAAAGAATGTTGCTATCAATTCATTCAGTTCTTTGAACCTGTTCTGCAATATTTTTATCATCGGTGTAATCCTGTCTCCGTCTGTCTTTCCCAAGGGCATGCTCAATGAGACACAATATATTTACGTCCGACCTAGCATTATAACAATCCATTTGAGACGTTACGGACCAGTGCCCTGTCTGAACTCATCAATGATTTGCCGTGGAGAACATGCAACAAGTTGGTGCTCATGACTGAACTAGCAGAAGCACTATATAGAGTCGACCCTGCAGCTGTCTAACCACACAGCACAATCAATCGAGGGAAACAAACCAGTACTGTAGCAGCAAGAAGAAGAAGTAGACGAGCGTTAGAGTTCCGCGCTGTTCAGTAGGTAAGATGGCCACTGCAAGAGCTCTAGCCACCATGGCAGTTTTCCTCCTGGTGGCCCTCTCCACCTCCCACATCGCGTCCTCGCTCCGCCCAGGTCTCGGTGTGTGCCGTGCAAGTGGCTACCTTCCAGAAAAGTCAGGCAACTGTGAGAAGAGCAACGACCCCGACTGCTGCGAGGATGGCAAGAGATACCCGCAGTACCACTGCTCGCCGCCGGTCACCGCGACCACCAAGGCCGTCTTGACGCTCAACAGCTTCGAGAAGGGCAAGGACGGCGGCGGTCCGTCCGAGTGTGACAATTCCTACCACAGCGATAAGGAGATGGTCGTTGCGCTCTCCACCGGCTGGTTCAAGAACATGGCCCTTGCGGGCACCGCATCAAGATCAGCGCCAATGGCAAGTCTGTGTATGCCAAGGTGGTGGACGAGTGTGACTCCGTCTATGGCTGCGACGAAGACCACAACTACGAGCCCCCGTGTGCTAACAACATCGTTGACGCCTCTCCTGCGGTGTGGAATGCCTTGGGGCTCGACCAGAACGTCGGCATGGAGGGCATCACCTGGTCCCATGAGTGAGCGTTTGAAACAAAGGTGAGCGCAGGTTGTTGGTACCACTAGTCGGTCAAGTGTCATGTGTATAATGTTCGCTGTCAGAGAGAAGTCCAGTATATACAGATCCTATACGGGGTGAGTTGATCAGATTATGTATATGATGGCATGATTTTTTAAAATAAACAGTGCAACCTATGGTTTAGCACCAGTGAGATGTTCGCGTGTGCTCTTCAAGGCTATAATAGTGAGTAGTGTGGTGTATAAAGAATTGGAAACACATGAGATACCTGAGAAAGTTGTATACTCATTTTCAAGGGTCGCTGAACAAGTATGATAAACTGTTAAAAAGCACATCATTCCACTGATCAGCTACCAAAGACGGTGAACTCCATAGAAAATATTATGTCTAATGCTACGCAGCATTATATATCTTGCACGGTTGCATCTAATTACAGCATGTATGCAGCGCAGGAAGAGTGAGATTGCTCCATGACGCAGACTTAACTCCCATAACAATTCACTCAAGTCGAGAGTATCAAGCAAGCAATCAACAAACGGAGCTGCTTAATCAAGGAATCAAGGATCTGAAAAAAGCATGAGGAACTAATAATACATGCTTTTTGATGCTTAATGTTTCAGTAAGGCAACTAAATGTGCAATCAAGATGATTCCATGATTTCATAATGTTACAAGCGCTCAACTCAGGCATGATACTGGAGTGGTGGAACAGTATGATGGTGGCCCTTGTCCCGAAAATTGATAACATCGGACGCTAAGTCAGTTTCCGCCAATATCTTTGTAATTTAGTTTACATAGTTATCTTAGAAATGTTGCTTAATCATTCAAAGAGTATGCTGCCCGGGATACTTTCGCCAACGTAGAGCACTTTCATTTCAGGGTGCATGACTACGGAAATTATTTTGGTGCCATACGAGTATTGCCATACTTCAAAGAACAAAAATAAAAGGGAAGTTTGGTTGGCAAATTTTTGTGATAGACTACCGAATATAACTACATAAACTAAACCACATAGGTGTCGTAATTTCTCAAAGTTCTTCTATGTCTACTTCCTAGAGTGTTGTGAGAGACTAGTGAATATAGGTGCATAAACTAAACTGGATAGATTTCCAAATTGCTGAAAGTTTTGGGCGTTTAAGATGTTCGGGGCGAACATGGTTTTTCTTCTTCCGTCTTTTGTTTTCCCCCGGTTTTCTTTTCGGTTGGTTACGTTGGGGTGTCCTGCTGTGCTCTAAGGACACAACACCATCGATCTTTATATTGCCCGTGCTGAGTGCCACCAGCCGCCATCTCCTAGGAAAGCAGGACGCCGATGAGGCACCACCGAGCGTGCAGCCGGTGCTGCTGTGCCGCCACAATCAGATGGACTGGGCCCGCGTCACTCGCGTCGCTTGTGGCAGCAAGGTCTTAACGCGCCGACGCATGCACATCCATTGTTGTTTATCCGTGGTTGGGAAGACGAGGTGAAGATTGGATCTCCCGAGGTGGAGGCCAGCGTTGCCGCCACGACCAACGTACAGAGGAGAGGCTCAAGGTTGCGGCTAGAATCGCCGACCAGGAAAATCCGGATCGAGCGGTTCACCTGGGGCCTGAATAATAAGTGGACCTGTCAATATCAAATGATGGGCCCCGGTTTACATGTCCGTCGAATTCGACAGGAATGCATGAAG